ATCCTCCTCTTTTTTTTTCTTCCCCAAAGCCCCAGTAGATAGTTGTATGTCATAGTTGCACATCCTTCTAGTTGCTGTATGTGGGACGCGGCCTCAGCGTGGCCGGAGAAGTGGTGCGTCAGTGCGCGCCCGGGATCCGAACCCGGGCCACGAGCAGCGGAGCGTGCGCACTTAACCGCTAAGCCACGGGGCCGGCCCTAGTCAAACTTTCTAATTCAGTTTTTGTTTAAGCAAAGTATACTACTTTCCCAAAAGGTCTGAAGATAATTTTATTTTTTGTTTTTCGTAAAGAACAAGCATTTATTCTATATTAGTACTGGGAAAAAATACAATTGTTCAAACCTATTAAGAGACACAATAGATATTAACTGACTCTCTCATCAAACACTGAGTGCTTGCTATAATGACAGAGACTGCTAATAAGGATTAAGGATACTGGGCAAAGACAAGCCTTTTCAAGAAATTCACCTAATTCCTATGGAAATTCAGAGGAACCAGGGATTGCCATCCTAGTTCAGCACCCTAGTGTGCCGAATTGAGCCATGAAGGCTGAGTGAGAAAGGGATGGTAGTGGGGTGTGTACAGGACATGAAAACCCATCACAAGTAGTTCAGCATGGCTAACGTGGCTAGTGTATAGGCTTTCTATGCCCAAGAATGCTGGAGTTGGGGTTGTGTGGGAGTAGTAAGTGTTGAGGATAAATCATGAAGTTTTTATGCTACATAAAAGCACTTTAGTTTAATCCCAAAAGCCATGGGAAGGCACTGAAAGTTTTTAAGCAAAGAAATGATATGAACAGAATTGCTTGTTAATAGGACCATCCTGGCATCAGAGTGATGAAAGGATCAATGCTTGGCAAAACAAATTCATTTAGCAAATACTACTGAAAACTTACTGTATGCCAAACAAGACTGGAGGCCAGGTGACCATTTAGGAGGCAACTGCAATATCCTAGCCTATAAACCATGGCAGTGTTAACAGAGCAGTGTGGGTTTGAGGGTGAAGAGGCAAAACTATCAACTCTAGGTAAATCAGATTTGGTTTGGAGTGGGAAAGCAAAAGGGAAATCTAAGAAGATCCTCAAGTTACTGATAATGCTGATTATCAATGTGAAATATAACATGTGATACTAGTTTTGGTGAATAGATATTTTGGGAGAATTCAGATATGGTGAAACTGGCTGTTTGATATTTTAAAGGACATACACAAGAGGCTTAAAAAGATGGATCTAGTTATATTCCTCTAGAAAAGAGTAAGTATGAAATGAGCATCTGAGAATTTGTATATATGAAATATCTGAACACATGGGTAGGGGATAAAAACAACAGCCAATATTTATTGTATACTTAATGTACCAGGCGCTAACGTAAACGTTCACGAAATCTCCTTTACTCCTACCAGGTAGACTTTATTATTATTTTTCCTTTTTACAGGTGTGACAACTCAGGCACAAAGAAGAACATGCCCCGGGTCATACAGACACCATGAAGTAATAATTCAGATGAGGCATTTTGACCTCAGGGGAAGAAAATATATAGAAATCAAATATCATTGCCAACTCTACCAGTGGATCACACCCATTAAAGCAAACTTTACTTCATATTATGTTCAGGTTGGAAGTACTCAGCCCTTGTGATGACCTCACTGATAATACGCCACAGACGTTTCATTTTTGGGATAGGTATAAAACTCCCTTTGTTCTCAGTTTAACACTAAGGTCTTTAACTCATCATTGTTTTCAGTAAGAATCCAATGTGGTCCTGTTTAATTCTGACAGCATTATTATGAGGTTCCTTCTCTTTCTCCAAGGTTTCCCACAGCCACAGTATTTTTGGTTCCCTAAAAACATGATCAAACCTTCAGAGTCTTTGCAAATAGAATATCCTTAGCTCACCTTATCCATATATTAACTTGGCCTTTAAGACTGTGCAAGTCCTTAGAATTCTGCCTCTTCAGTCAGGCAAGCCTGATTACTCCCATCTTATCAGAGACTTCATCTCTACCCTATAAGAACTTTCCTCTACTAGACTGAGGTTAAGGGATAGGGGTTGTCCTATATATTGTTAGCTTCAAATTCAGGTCTTTTTATTTCCTTGAATAAAGTTGTATAGCTTTCCTCTTAGGAAAATCTTCTTAGATCTATTTTAATCAGTTGTTAAAGTATTTAGCAATTTACCTCGTTATTGTGAATATTTTTCTTATCCCAGTACCTTTTATTTTGCTAAATACAGACCTTTAGGAATTATTACATGTTTATCTTTTGTATCTGTGTATAACGCTACAACACCCTCTATCCTTGTCTAAGCACTCACGAGTTCACCATGGCTGGAAAAAAATCATAAAGTGTTTACTGCTCACTCTCAATGACCACAAACTTGGCTGTAATGCCACCTGGACCCACCCTCCTGATACTATAATTAACTGTCAAGGATCCTATTTCAGGTTGAAGACTCCATAAGGTCATCACCGCCATGGCTCTAGATCTCATTCCCTCAACTTGATGATAGCTCTCCAACAATTCTTCCCTCCCTCCTCTCTCCATCATCTACTTTCCTTTCTGTTGGAAAATGGAGGCATGTCAAGGGGCATAGGAGCCAACCCTAAAAGACCCCCAATGGCCAAAGCTGAACAATTTGAGGAACAAAATAAATAAAATAGCACCAGAGTATAACAAAGTATAAAATAAATACACATGGGTCCATACAGATATAAATAAATGGGAAAGAGAATTTTTTTACAGAAGAATTCCAAATATGTGTAGATTTTCCCCTCCTATGGGAGGTGGAGCTTCATTCCCCCCATCCCTACTCTGAAGATCAGCTACACTTAATAATTTGCTTCCCAAGAATAGAGTAGGTTAAGGGAAAAACAGTAACTACAATGGTGAATCCAGGCAAACTCTACCTTAGCCACATGATGAAGGTTAACATCCCTAGTGATGTCATATAGATATTATGTACCCATAATATGATGTGATGAGAAGGGCACCTTTAGAGGATAATTTTATTTAATTTATAAACTGCATTCTGACAGTCTAAGCTCTGCCACCTTGCTAATATATCTAAGTTCTTAAGGCAGATAGCTTTTGGAAACAATTGATTGACTATTTACTTTTATATTTACAGTCATGCGTCACTTAAGGACAGGGATACATCCTGAGAAATGCGTCATTAGGCAACTTTGTCATTGTGCAAACATCACAGAGTGCCCTTACACAAACCTAGATGGTATAGCCCACTACACAATGAGGCTATATGGTATCAACCCTATGGGACCATTGTCATATATGCGGTCCGTCGTTGACTGAAACGTCGTTATGCAGTGCATGACTGTACTTACTATTCATTTATTTACTATTTTACATCTTAAGTTGAACTACCTTTTTGCTTTGTCCTTGTCATCTTCTTCCACCAACCCATCAAAAATACTACCATCATCCCTAAAAGAAAAAAGAAAGTGGATAGAGAAAATAAGAGCAGACTCACTAAGCACAGGCAATACTAAAATGACATGTGAATCAAATGCGTTATATCCTAGGATTTTTGTAGAGTTGATGGACTGTACAAATTCAAACTCAATAACTACTAATCTGTTTTCTAATAAATACTAGAAAACTAAAGTTTAGCCAGGTTTAATTACATTTTTAAAAGTTTATTACAAATGTGAATTTTAAAACTACTTACTTAGCTATACTATACAGTCATACCACATTTTACTGTGCTTCACTTGATCGCACTTTGCAGATACTGTGTTTTTTTTTTTACAAGACCCTCCACCAAAAAAAGATTACAACTTGCTGAAGGCTCAGATGATGGTTAGCATTTTTTAGCTATATTTTTTAATTAAGGTATGTAAATTGTTTTATTAGATATAAAGCTATTGCACACTTAATAGACTACAGTATAGTGTAAACATAACTTCTATATGCACTGGGAAACCAAAAAATTTATGTGACTCCCTTTATGGCAATATTCACTTAATTGCGGTGGTCTGGAACAGAACCCACAATATATCCGAGGTATGCCCCTATATGCAATATGCTAAACCAGAATTTAATTTAATTGGAAGTTAAATATCATTTCAAACTTTTAGTAACCAGTGAAAACCTATAGAAAGTCACTGTATTTGCCATTATATAAAATGATTCACTTGAAATTATTTTTAATTATAATAGCATAGTTTAAAAAATATATTTTCTGAGACATTCACTTTATAAAACCACAGATCACTCTAAACATCACAATATGTAGCATATTATATTAATATATTTTCATTCATTACTGAGTCATCTGACAAATATTAGCACTCATCTGCCAGGCTCTCTTCTGGACATGGTTACAGAGCAGTTAACCAGACATACAGGTCCCCTGCTCTCCTACAGCTAATTTTCTAGTAGAAACAAACAAATCAACATGAAAATGTATGATGATAAGTTTTATTTTTCAAAATAAAAAAATAAAAGTAAAAAGTTTATTTTTCAAAAAAGGGGGTAGTTACTTTAGTCTGAATGGTTAGGGAAGGACTTGTTCAAGTGGGGACATTTGAGCTGAAATCTAAGTGACAATAAGGGGTCGATTTTGGGAAGAGCTAGGTGAAGAGCATTCTAACAAAATCAAGAGCATCTATAAAATCTCATGAAATTATTGTGAGGTTAAGTAACATAAAAAAAGTATTCTGGGGCCGGCCTGGTGGCACAAGTGGTTAAGTGCGTGCGCTCCACTGTGGCAGCCCAGGGTTCACCGGTTCGGATCCCAGGCGTGCACCGACGCACTGCCTGGAGAACCATGCTGTGGCAGCATCCTATATAAAGTGGAGGAAGATGGGCACGGATGTTAGCCCAGGGCCAGTCTTCCTCAGCAAAAGAAGAGGAGGATTGGCAGATGTTAGCGCAGGGCTGATCTTCCTCACAAAAAAAAAAAAAAGTATTCTGCACATTAGCTATCAACGAGTAGATGCTTAAAATGTTACTGTATTTCATCAAATTTAAGACACCATTGACTGTAAGACTTAGTATTTTATGTGCCACTAAGAAAGAAAAAAATGCTACCAATTAAACTATGATAAGCCAACTGTAAGATGAATCCCAATGTCAGAGATATTAAAATGTAAAAAAATAAAACCCTTAACAAAGAAACAACGAGGTTCATTCTTTTCCCAAGAGTAAGATTTAAAGATTATAATTTCAACTAATGAAATCCTAATTACAGTTATGTGTTGCTTAATGACAGGGATACGTTCTGAGAAATGCATTATTAGACGATTTCGTTGTTGTGCAAACACCCGAGTTTACTTACACAAACCTAGACAGTATAGCCTACTACACACCTAGGCTATACGGTACTAAACTTATGGGACCATTGTCATTGACCAAAACATCATTATGCAACGCATGATGGTACAGTTACCTCTTATCAGTCACAAATACTAAAATGCTTAAAGGGATGAAGTTAGCACCAATAGATAAGGAGAAAAAAAGACAAGAGATAAGGAGATAGAAGATTCCATAAGGTACCGAGGAAACATTTACAGTCGTCACAATTTCTTTCAGAACAGCTCTGACCAAATCACTCAAAATTATAGCTCAAAACCCCTTTAGAAAACAAATCATCCACTGTTGACTTTGGCTATAGATAATATATCTTTCTTACTATTACACTATGTTTGCTCAACACAGAAATTAAATGTAAGAGTAATTTAAGCACAAAACTCCTTCTATCAGTTTAATATAGACCATTACTCTAATAGTGAATTTTAAAACAGCTTTATATAATTCGAAATAGAGAGTCTCTAAAAACATACCTGTCAATCATCGAGCTCATTTTACTACAGCTTACGGTAAACAACATAACATACTACGTTTTCGTCTTGTGGTAGACATTTGTACTTCTCCTTGAGTGGAAAAAAGATAAATGGTCATTAATTTTCTAAAAAACTTATTTCTACAAACATAGTAATCTTGAGAAATACTATTATGTTATTATACAGACTTAAAAATGTTTTTGTTTGTACCAAAGGCTAGAACATTCTTTTCAAGCTAATATCTTTAGCTCGGGCACAGTTAAAGCTTTTTTCCTTCTAAAAAAGGACTACAGGGAAAAAAAATTGAGGTCCATAATTCATTTTGTTTCTATTATAAAATAATCAAAATTAAAAGCTACTCAATATTCAGTATATGTATTAGACTATGTAACTGTAAACAGGCTGTAATAACACCATCTAATCAGCAATAAACATTTGCTGAAATTCTATTTTCTGTTAAACAGTATGCTAAACTTTGGGGATATAAGGATGAAAGATACAGTCCCTACAGGCAAAAAAACCGCAATTGAATAGGGAGATAGCTACCTAAATAATTATAATAAAAGTGATAATGAAGGTATATAGGAAGGAGTCATTGTCTCAATGATAATGAGTTGTCAGGTAATCTAGAATGTTGTTATTGAAAATATGGTCCATACACCATCAGCACTGGCATCATATGACAGCTTGTTAAAAGACAGAATCCTGGGCCCCACCCCAGTCCTACTGAATCAGAATCTACATTTTAACAAGGCCCTCATGTGATTTGTATGACCATTTAAGTTTGAGAAATAAGACTAGAGGACGAGATGAGGTAACAGTTGAAAGGACTCTAAGCCACAAGAATAGAAATTTGCAAAGGCATAGGTCTTTATGAGATGAGAGAGCAACATATTTGAGAAACTTAAGAGGTTCAGCATTTTCTTTAGAGAAAAATCGAGGCATGTTACAGTTTTAATTACCAGAGCATAAAGTGAGAATTAGAGTGGCAGAGGGGTGAAGGCAAAGTAAGTAGACAACAGCCTTATTATAAAGAGTCATATCAACATTGAAGGAATTAAAATTTACTACTTTAAAACTGAATCATATGCCTAACATTTGTCTCTCTATATTCTATATAGTTTTTCTAAAGTATAAGGCAGGTTTTATCCACACAACGTACTTATGTCCTATAGTCATGAGTTAAATATTAAATAACCACCTTAAGTCTAGTAATTATCCTAACAGTTTTGAGGCACAGGAAATTCTACTTTAACTACTATAATTTTGATTTAAAATTTAGAAAATTGTGTGGGACCAGCCCAGTGGCATAGTAGTTAAGTTCACGCACTCCACTTCGGCGGCCCAGGGTTTGCAGGTTCGGATCCCAGGCGCAGACCTATGCACCGTTCATCAAGCCATGCTGTGGCAGGCGTCCCACATATAAAATAGAGCAAGATGGGCACAGATGTTACCTCAGGACTAATCTTCCTCAGCAAAAAGAGGAAGATTGGCAATGGATGTTAACTCAGGGCCAATCTTCCTCAACAACAACAAAATATTTAAAGTAGTGTAATATTTAACTCCAACTAAACTAGAGAAGATTAAAGGTGTTCTCAGAACCTGAGATTCTAAAATATTCTATCACTGTTTTCAAATGCACATTCATGAAAGGGAGCGAGAATAACCCTTGATAAATGATGCTGCATTGCCTATGAGGTTATGGCTGCAGAAGTGGGACTGTGAAGGGCTAAGAGTTCTTAAGAGAAAATGAGTGAGGGAGTCAGAGGTAAAAATAAAAAGAACTAACACTAGGATAAAATACTGATTTTAAGTGTCTGGGTCAACATCAGCAGATGGAACACAGAATTATAGTATTTTAGAGTTGGAAGAGACTTTAAAGATCACCTAAGTACAACCCTCTGGTCCAACAGACATACTTACCATCATGCTAATAACAGAGGTTGGTTCTATCACCAGAACAAAAAGAACAGTGCAAAGGTAACAGAGCCAATTAGGGTGAATTAAAAAAGAACAGGGGCTGGCCCAGTGGCATAGCGGTTAAGCGGGTGCGCTCCGCTTTGGCAGCCCGGGGTTTGCAGGTTCCAACCCCGGGCGCGCACCGACGCACCGCTTGTCAAGCCATGCTGTGGCAGGCATCCCACATATAAAGTAGAGGAAGATGGGCACGGCTGTTAGCCCAGGGCCAATCTTCCTCAGCAAAAAAAGGAGGATTGGCATCAGATGTTAGCTCAAGGCTAATCTTCCTCACAAAAAAATAAGTAAATAAATAAAATAAAAAAGAACAGTTTCAGTTTCAAGTTAAAATGCCAGATCTGAGCCTTATAAGACACCATTATCAAAAGGAAGGGCAAACTAGCAAAAAAAAAAAAAAAAAGGACTCCAAGAATTAGGGCTTAGATTACAGGAAGGGCCATCCTGACTCCAAGAAGAGTGAATCCAAAATGATTTAGAAGATACAGACTGATGCTTTATTAGGCTATTTTACGAATGTTGTTAACAATATTTTCCCAAATATTATTTTTTGTCCAGCTAACTGAACCACATAGACTATATCTCTAATAGTCTAGTCCAAGATCTTTTCTCTACTTTTCCAGCCAATTGACCGACCTGCTATAGTTAAGGGACAGGTAAGAGAAGAAGTGAAATAGGCCTGACTACACGCTCTAGAACAATTGTGAGAAGATTCCTCTTAACTTCTTTAAATAGTGTCAAATTAATTTTAACAAAACAAAGCCGTTAACCGGGTACAGCCAAAATGTCTTGTTTGGGGACTACCCTAGGACTCAGGCTTTCAGGACAAAAAGACTAGCCAGAATCACACTTGCCCATGCTATGGATTCTAAGGATTCAGTTTTAGAAGACATGTGATGTCCCTACACACAGCAAGGAATTCCAAGTATACAATCTAATACAGATTAAATTTTATTATTTAAAGTCTTTTTTCTTAAATATTGACATTACTAGACCAGTATGGTATGCAATAATATGTCTCTAAAAGGATCAGTTACTGTCACTGGAATCCAAAGTTCACAAATTACATTATAAAGGATCAAGTTACAGCTGGGAATCAAATGCTCCTTTGCATAAGCAACTTGAGCTCATTCAGTGATGTGACTTCCCAGCTGAGTAAGCACCACATTACTATTTTATGACCATAGAGGGAAGGACAGCATAAATCTTTTATACATATCATTTTAAAAACAAGCTTTAAAAAAATATTTACCAAATGGGAAGATATTAGTAACTATAAGAAACTTTATAAACAATTCAAACTTTGCCAAATACAGAAGCAGATATGTTTTTAATTCAGCATGCAACATTATACATAAGTAACAGAAAATCTCAGTGTCTGCAAAGTCCATCTTCGGAAAAGAACTCTTACAAATAAAACAACACATTCTGTATTAAAAATAAACTGTATTAAAAATAACTGTCAGGCCAGCCCGGTGGCGCAAGCAGTTAAGTGCATGTGCTCCGCTGCGGCAGCCCAGGGTTGGCCGGTTCGGGCCCCGGGCGCACACCGACGCACCGCTTGGCAAGCCATGCTGTGGCGTCATCCCATATAAAGTGGAGGAAGATGGGCATGGATGTTAGCCCAGGGCCAGTCTTCCGCAGCAAAAAAAAAAAAAAAAAAAAAAAGAAGGATTGGCAGATGTTAGCTCAGTGCCGATCTTCCTCAAAAAAAAAAATAACTGTGTCAATTGTGTCATTATTAAACTAACAACACAATACTACTTGTCCTCTGTCCATCTGCTGTCATCTCTCAAGGCTTTCCATTCCTACATCACTAATTTCTCCCTCTAAACCGGATTACTCTAACCAACAATTTAGTATTTTCCCTTAAAAAACAAACAAAACAAACACTCCCTTGACCCACCAACCCCCTTCAGGTACTGCCCTTCTTTTCTGCTCCCTTTTTAGTGTTTATTTTCACCAATGTAGTACATGTTCAAAGTTTAGTGTCCAAACAGTTTTACAAGACTTATTTAAAAATCAGAAGTCCTCTGTCCTCTGATCCTCATTTGTCATTTTCCACCACTTTCACCTCTTTTAACTGTTTCTTTTGGTAGTTAACTCCCTATCTCTAACATCATTTATTTTGTTACTTGATTCTTTCTGTTTTAGGTAGGGTGCCTACACAGTCCCAACACATCCGAGTTGTCCCAGTGTAATTATTAAAAGTGTCTCCTTTTGCTCTCAAAAGTTTCTTATTTTTTTAGGCATCATCTATTGAACTCTAAGAAAAATAAGAATTAAGCTCTCTTTGATTCCCTCATCCTTATACACATGCACACTTGCCCAAATTTCCAATATCTTAATTTTGGCTAGGTGGTTATATTCAGAGTTAACATTATTATGACTCTGTAAATTCAACTCACAGCTGAGCTACATAATTACTTTCCTTTTATGAGTAATTTTCCTTAGAGTTAATAATTGTTTTATTATTTACCTAGTTGTTTATACACTTATCACCAATTCAGCCCCCAACTCTTCCCTGTCTAAATCTACTGTTAATATTTTCAAACACATTACACATTCTACCAATTTAATCTTCTCAGAGGTATTTTTCTTGGAACCTTCTATTGGGAGTGGATGCTCTCTATAACTGGTGACAAGATGTCATCTGTGATCACTATACACTATCTTCCTGGTGATTTCCTGGGTCTCTACTTAAGTTGCATTCCTTGTTTCTTGTATCCCATGGCTTTATCTTTTTTAGTTTACTTCTTTATTTTTGTTGACTACCTCCTATAATAACTGCCCAGAAAGGGGATGGCAGATAAAATTTTTGTGACATCACAAGTTTGAAATTGTCATTAGTCTATCCTTAATCCTTAATAGTTTAGCTGGATACTGAATACTGGGTTGGAAACCATTTTTCACTCAGAATTACGAAGACTCCACTGTCGATCCTCCAGTACGGTATCAAGAAGTTGAAAGCCATTCTGATTACTGATCCTTTATATGTGACCTGCTATTTCTCTAATTCTGGAAGCTTCCCTATGTTTTAAAATTTAATAGTGATATGTCCTATTTTGGACTTATTTTCATATCTATTGTCACTCTACAGGTTCTTTCTACCTGAAAACTTGTGTTCTCTAATTCTGGAGGGTTTTGTTCAATCATTCTCTAATTCTCCTCTCTATTTCCTCTATTCTCCCTTTTTGGAACTCCTGTTATTTCAACATTGGAAATCTTGAATGGTTGCTCCAATTTTCTTATTTTTTCTCTCCCATTTTCTCTTTGCTTTATTTTCAGTAGATGAGTTTTATTTTTAAACCCTTCCACTCAGTTTTTCATTTCTAATTTCATTTCTTATGGTTTCTCTTCCATGTTTCATGGATTTAGCATCTCCTCTTACCTCTCCTGAAACTATTAAATGATAGTTTTGTGTTTGCTTCAATTTTTACCTGCCTACCTGGTCTCCATTTCCCCTAACTTGGTATTTTCTCTTTGGGTTTTCTCTTCGACTCTCACATAAGAGGCTTTCCTAAAAAAGCTAGTGATCTCTTGCCACAGGCTCATATTTAAGGGTAGGGTACTAAAAAGATCACTGCAGCTCTGTGTGATAGGGCTTGCTGACTATGAACCTTACTGCAGGAAACTCAGGCTGGAATATTTCCTTGGGGGAATTCTTAATGTCAGTATCTTCAGATCTTTTCTCTTAGGCTGGTTATAATTTCCAGAGAAGAATCTTCTAGACTATTGACTGAAAATTATAAAAATATGGTAGCCTAGGTTCTTAATCCCCCTATTTTCAATATGGTTCTCCCATTATCAACTACGTTTAGTGCCCCTCTATTTTCATCCTTTCTAGAGAATAAATCTCAGTCTTCTGCTGAGATGGGGAAGGTGCAGTTAGTTGCCTGGGATTCCAAAGTCAGGAAAAGGATCTCTGGAGTATAATCACCTCTTAATCACATCATAAACAGATTTGCAACAAATTGTCCTGTTTTTTTGTCCCATCCTCACTCTGACTTGCAAAGGAAAGAGTGTTTTCAATTCCTGAACATTTTAGAGGTTCTACAGTGCCAGGAAGTTTGTTTCTCAGCATTACCCCAGCTGGCTTAGGATTCTAGGCTCTGCAAGACAGTACCATACTTTGCTTTTCAGGTTCCAAAATTTTGTTGCAATTATTTCCTCTCCCATTCTATTTGGTCTTGTGAAGTCATGTCTTTTGTAAAAGATCTTTTTACTTTAGCTTTAATGGAGTTGGAAGAGGAAACAGAATTTGATTGTATTTTTTGCCATCTTTAACTGGAAGGTCCCATTCTCTTCAATTTTAATCAGGCTTTCATCCTCACCTGCTCCCACTGAGATTGTTCACTCTTGAGAGTTATCAGTGACATTCATGTCGCCAAACCTAATTAATAGCTGCTTTACTCTACTCTCTAGTTGACCTCTTGGTAACATGTGATGTAACTGACCACTTCTGCTTTTATTAAATACTTTTCTTTTCTTGGCTTCTGTAACAGAAGACTTTCCTGCTTTTCCACTCAATTCACTGGCTGCTCTTTTTCCTCTGATTAATACTGGCATGTCCCAGGGCTAAATCCTTCTCAATCTATGTACACTTCCTAGATAATTTCATCCAGACATATGCCTCTAATTATCTCTCTATGCCAATAACTGCCAAATCCACACCCCTAGACCAGATTCTCAACTTCAGAGTCAAATATCCAACTACCTTCTTGATATTTCTACAGATTTTACAGGTGTCTAAAATATCATAGAGCAAAAGAGAACACTTGACTTGCTCTGTAAATTTTCTCCTCTCCCAGTTTTCTTCTCCAATCTGAACTCCATATACTCTTCCCCTCACTTATTACATTCCAGCCACATTTGCTCTTTCTGTTCCTCAAGGATTCCATGGTCATTTTTGTTTCACTGCCTATAAATCTCCTCTCTCAGATCTTCACAGGGCTGACAGATTCTTGTCATTCAGATCTCAACTGAAAAACTCTTCTTCAATGAGGGCTTTTCTGACTACCTGATGAATGCAATCACCACTCTCTATCACATTATCCATTTTAATTCTCTGCATAGAACTAACCACAATTTTTTCATTTGTTTGTTTATTATTTGTCCTTCCTCACTTTAGAATGCAATCCTCATGAGAGCAGAGATAGCTTCTGTTTTGTTCCCAGTATCTAAAATAGTATCTGAATATAGCTGGCACAATAAATGTTTTGGGATAATACAACAGGAAAAATTTTTTAATGAAATTTTCCTCAAACTAGTGTGTCAAAATAGTTTATGGATCCTTTTATATATTTTTCTGGAAAAATGTCATTCCAAATTGCATTCTAAGATACAATTTTCTCATTACCTTTTGTATTTTTTGGATCTTTTGAACGGATTCTTCAGAAAACTGTAGGTTCAATGTATTCTTCTATATGGCTGACCATCAGTCTCAGAATTCTGTTTAAACAATAAAAAATTTATTTATTACATTTATTCAACTTATTAGAAGTTTATCATGAAAAAGGTTTTAAGATAATTTTTAAACACAACAAAATTCAGAACTTTGTCACAAAAATGTACATAATAAATGTTAAACTCTACAAATTCTTTCTAAAAGACAACAACTTAAAAATAAAAAAGAAACCAAAACAATCATTTCTTTTTTTTTTTTTTTTAAAGATTTTATTTATTTATTTTTTCCCCCCAAAACCCCAGTAGATAGTTGTATGTCATAGCTGCACATTCTTCTAGTTGCTGTATGTGGGACGCGGCCTCAGCGTGGCCGGAGAAGCGGTGTGTCGGTGCGCGCCCGGGATCCGAACCCGGGCCGCCAGCAGCAGAGCGCACACACTCAACCACTAAGCCACGGGGCCGGCCCCTAAAACAATCATTTCTAATTCTAGTATAGAAGTTAGAAGACAGAAGTATAAAAATAAATATAACTATAAAAATATGTTAATGGATACACAATATAAAAAGATGTAATTTCTGACATCGATAACATAAAGTGTGGTGGGGGAGAGAAGAAAATGAGAAGAGTTTTTGAAGTTAAGTTGTTATAAGCTTAAAATAGATTGTTAAAACTGTAAGATATTTTACGTAAGACCCATGGTAAGTACAAAGAAAACACCTATAGAGGATATGCAAGAGGAAACAAGAAAGGAATCAAACATGCCACCACAAAAAAAAAAAAAAAATCAACGAAACACAAGTGAAGACAAAAAGAGAGGAAAAAAGTGTCAAAAAACTACAAGAAGACAAAAACAATTAACAATGAACATAAAAGTCTTTCCCTATCAGTAATTCCTTTAAATGTAAACAGATAAAGTCAACAGTGAAAAAAACAGAGTGGTTAAATGGATTGAAAAAAAAAAACAAGATCCAACTACATGCTGTCTACAAGAGATCCAGTTTAGATTTAAGGACACATATAGGCTGAAAGTGAAAGACTGGAAAAAGATATTCCATGCAAATGGTAACCAAAAGAGGGGAGGAATGACCATACTTACATCAGAAAAAATAAACTTTAAGTCAAAAACTGTCACAAGAGACAAGGGACACTGTATAATGATAAAAACGTCAATTCATCAGGAAGGCATAACAATTATAAATATACAAACACCCAACATCAGAGTACCCAAATATCTGAAGCAAACATTGATGGAACTGAAGAGAGAAATAGACAGCAACACAATAATAGTAGATTTCAATATCCCAGTATCGATAAATGGATAGAACATCCAGACAGAAGATCAATAAGGAAACAGACAACTTGAACAACACTACAGACCAAATTGACTTAATAGACATATACAGACTATTCCACTCAATAGCAACAGAATACACATTCTTGTCAATTGTACATGGAACATTCTCCAGAACAGATCACATGTTAGGTCACAAGACAAAACTTGGCAAATTTAAGAAGACTGAAATCATACCAAATATCTTTTCTAACCACAATGGAATAAAACTAGCAATCAATAACACAAGGAAAACTGGAAAATTCACAAATGTGTAGAAATTAAACAACACTCGAACAATCAATGGGTCAAAGAAGAAATCAAAAGAGAAATGAGAAAATATCTTGAGACAAACAAAAACATAACACATCAAAACTTATGGGATAAAGCAAAGGCAATACTGAGGGGGACGTTCATAGTGATAAACATTACATTAAAAAAAAGAAAGCTCTCAAATAAAGACCCTAACTTTACAGTAAACCTCAAAGAACCAGAAAAAGAACAAATAAGCCCAAAGTTAGCAGAAGGAAGGAAATAATAAAGATTAAAGCAGAAATAAACAAAATAGAGATTAGAAAAACAATAGTAAAAACCAATACAAAGAGTTCTTAGAAAAGATCAACAAAACTGACAAACTTTTAGCTAGACTTAGGAAAAAAGACAAAACTCAAATGAGTAAATTCAGAAATGAAAGAGAATATTACAACTGATACCACAAAAATATAGAAATACAAAGGATCATAAGAAACTACTATGACCAATTAAATGCCAACAAATTGTATAACCTAGAAGAAATGGATAAATTCCTAGAGACATACACCCCACTAAGACTGAATCACGAAGAAACAGGAAATCTTAACACACCCATAACTAGCAAGGATATTGAATCGGTAATCAAAAACCTCCCAACAAAGTAAACCCCAGGATCAAACAGATTCACTGAAGAATTCCACCAAACATTTAAAGAATTAATTAACACCAATCCTTCTCAAACTCTTCCAAAAAACTGAAGAGGAGGGAACACATCCAAACTCATTTTATGAAGCCAACATTACCCTGATACCAAAGCCAGACACTCCACAAGTAAAGAAAACTATAGGTCAACATTCCTGATGAATACAGATGCAAAAATTCTCAACAAAATACTAACAACCCAAATCCAACAGCACATTAAAAGGATCATACACCATGACCAAGTGGGATTTATCCCTAGGATGCAAGGATGTTTCAACATACAAAAAATCAATGTGATACACCACATTAACAGAACCAAGGATACAAATCAAACGATTATCTCAATGCAGAAAAAGCCTTTGACATAATTCGATACTCTTTCATGATAAAAACACTTAGAACAGATAGAAATTTTCTCAAGATAATAAAGGCCATATATGAAAAGTCCACAGCTAACATCATGCTCAACAGCTAAAAACTGAAAGCTTTTCCTCTAAGATGAGGAACAATGCAAGGATGCGACTCATAACCACTTCGATTCAACATAGCACTGGAAGTCCAGGCTAGAGTAATCAGGCAAGAAATAAAAGGCATCCTAATTGGAATGTCAGAAGTAAAATTATCCCTGTTCACAAATTACATGATGTTATACGTAGAAAACCCTCAAGATTCCACAAAAAACCCGTTAGAATAAATATCAAAGTTGCAGGACACAAAATCAACACACAAAAATCAGTTGCATTTCTATGCACGAACAATCTGAAAAGAGAATTAAGAAAAAAATGCCATTTACAATAGCATTAAAAAGAATAAAATACTTAGGAATAAACTTAACCAAAAAAGCAAAAGACTTGTACACTGAGAGCTACAAAACTGGGAAAAAATACTTGCAAATCATATATCCGGCAAGAGGTTAATTCCACAAATATAAAGAACTCACACAACTCAACAACAAAAAAATGAATCATCCAATCAAAAAATGGGCAAAGGATAGGAACACACATTTTTCCAAAGATATACAGAAGGTCAACAGGCACATGAAAAGATGTTCAACATCACCAATTATTAGAGAAATGCAAATCAAAACTATAATGAGATATCACCTCACACCAATCAGAATGGCTATAATTAACAAGACAAAAAATAACAAGTGTTGGAGAGGATGTGAAGAAAAGGGAATTCTCATACACTGCTGGTGGGAATGCTAACTGGTGCAGCCACTATGGAAAACAGTATGAAGTTTTCAAAAATTCTGTTCTCGAAAACTTAAAAACAGAAATACCATGTGATCCAGCTATCCCACTACTGGGTATTTATCCAGAGAACATGAAAGCAACAATTCAAAAAGACTTATGAACTCTGTGTTCATCGTAGCGTTATTCACAATAGCCAAGACATGAAAGCAACCCAAGTGCCCATCAACAGATGAATGGATAAAGAGGATGTAGTATATATATACAATGAAATACTACTCAGCCATAAAAAAGACAAAATCGTGCCATTTGTGACAACATGGATGGACCTTGAGGGTATTATGCTAAATGATATAAGTCAGACAAAGAAATACCATATGATTTCACTTATATGTGGAAGATAAACACATAGATAAGGAGAACAGATTAGTGGCTGCCAAAGGAGAAGGGGGTGGGGGAGGGCAAAAGGGGCACATACGTATGGTGACGAATAAAAACTAGACCATTGGTGAACACAATGCAGTCTATACAGAAACTGATATGTAACAATGTATACCTGAAATTTACACAATGTTATAAGCCACTATGACATCAATAAAATAAATGTCAATTACTCATTTCGAGTCAGTAAGTATTTAAGGATCAAATAAATTCAAACTCTAGGTTAGAGATTATATGCACTTAATAAAGTGAAGGAATTGGTTAACAACAAAGAATTTCTTAGGCCTCTCCTATAACAGACCATGATATAGACTAATGACATGATCCAAAGCATAATAAAAGCAACTGCATAGGACCTGCCATAGTATTTACAATTTAATAGTTCTCCTATAAATTTGTTCTCAATAGTTCCAAACATACATTCCTTATAATGAAGAAAGCACCTAGAAAGTCTGATAAAAGTTTAATCAAATGATTGCTTTAAAATGTTAATGAATGTATATTAATTACTCTCATTGAAGTCTCTGTATCAGCTAATACAGAAAAGGTCATGATTGATGATCCTCTTCACATAGTGCTTATTAAGGAGCCGACTATTCAGATTACGGCTGGTTCACATTTTGTTTCTTCCTCCATCTCTCCACTTTGTGTGTGTGTGTGTCTACTTTAGTTTTCATTTTCACCTTCAAGAACTAAAACTAGGGTGAATTTTACTCAAAATTTTGGGTATGGTAAACTTTAGAAGACTGTCAATTTCAATTAGCAACGTTCTTTCACTGACAAAGAAAATTGGGAATTGCTGTGTTCTTACTGTTTTTCATTGCAGAAGTGGATGTCACTATAACATTCTCAGTGTTCATATTCCTCCAAATCATGAGTTCCTTCAAAGCAGGGGTGATACTTTACTTATTCATCTATTACTAGGACCTGTCAGAATATCTGACAACTACTAAATACTCAACAAGCAATGACAAATAACTGAATTAACTGAAACCAACTTAATCTTGCCACACCAAAGTCAGGGCCAAACTTTGCACTCAAGTTTGCTTCTGACCCACCCAATGCCCATTCTAATTTTTTTTTAAAATCAAGAATATACTGTACATGCAATATGACAGCAACAAAA